AAAAAAAGGAAAGAATGCTATTGCATCAATATACAGGTTGCAATCCTAAGCACTACAACCTAAATAGATGATATGCAGCATTTTATTAATACTCCTTCAAATTTGTGGTGCTAATCCATGGTTTTATCATCTCTAAATGTTTTCTCTTTTACCCATTTTACGGATTTATGAATTATCTAGTCACTAACTAGCATTAGATTCACTACTTGTTTCTGATTATTTGTTAATACTTCTTCCACCTTCATGGTGTTTATTAATGGTTGTATCTTACTTTGTTTTTCCATTTTACGGTGTAGGCAGTGATGCAATTGTTCTAGGGGCAGAGACTTTGCGGGGATTATATCCTGTGGAGACTATTTCCACTGTTGGAAAAATTTGTGCCGAGGTGGGAACTAGAATGTATTCTTTAAACCATACACTAAGTTAGGCCTCAAACACAGAGTATGATACCTTTTTAACCAAATCCTCTTTGCAGGCAGAGAAAGTTTATAATCAAGATATTTATTTCAAGAAGGCTGTCAAATTTGTGGGTGAGCCAATGACTCATTTGGAATCAATAACTTCCTCTGCGGTACTCTTGTCTTTTTCACTAAAATTTATCTAGGGTAGTTTTAATTTTTCCCCTCGCTGCCATTACGTTACTCACTTGCTTAAATTTTTTTTCATAAGTAAAATACATATTTGGGAATAATTTCCTTGTGTCAACATGCAGGTTCGGGCAGCCATCAAGGTTAAGGCTTCTGTTATTATTTGCTTTACTTCATCCGGAAGGGCTGCAAGGTTCATTTCAATTTTTCTTTACTCGCCTCTTATTATTTTAAGAACTTTCTCATGCTTTGGTTATGAATTCAAATGTTTGTGCATTTCTTGTTTATTAGTAATTAATTATGCTGCACTTTTGATATCTTGCTAACAAATCATTTGAGTTATCTATTATTGTGTAAATTTGTAGGCTGATTGCCAAGTACCGTCCAACCATGCCTGTGATATCTGTTGTCATTCCTCAACTAAAAACAAATCAACTTAGATGGACTTTCACTGGAGCTTTTGAGGTATTTAATTGATAAATGGATATAATTTGTTTCATGAAATATTCACATGATTCGTGAAGCTGGCCTTCTGTTATTAAGTCAGAGTCAGCATGATTCGGTTCCTTGAGTCAGCTCAGTCTTATAGGCATTGGTATATACTTTTTAAGCCTGGTGCTTTGTATATATTCTTCTGTAGTGGAGCTTACCTGATGGAATTAGCTCCTAGTAGACTACTGACTAAAATTATTCATGCATTTTTTCCCCCAGTTGTATCAGCTTTTGTACGTTGATAACTTTAGTTTTATGTACAGTGGAATAATGATTTTGTAAGTGATCAATTCTCGTGTGTTGTATGTTGTCTTTGACTTTTGT